TTGGGAATTGGCTGAAGATAAGACTCAAGAAGGATTCAGAAGAAATGCAAAGCAAGGTAATGTGAGGTGTAGAGGCCTTTATAAGCAAATTCCTGGCCTCACTACCGGCCTATTATATAGCAACCATTGCATTCCAGTTAAAAAATGGCACTTCTGTTCTTTCCTTCTTTTGAATAAAAATAAGAATATTTTCCTTCTATGCTACCCTAGTTACTTCCATGACTTACAGTTAGAGCTGCCTTTATGAAGCTGATAGAAACGGGCATTCTCAAGTCCCGAATACAAACGGGGATTGGAACAGAGTTGATGGGGTTGAAAGAAACTCTAAAATATAAACAGAGTGTCTGGTATAGTCAGAGAGCATTAAACGAAATTCTAAAATATAAAAAAAAACAGGGAGATTGGTATAGTTATAGGCATCTTAAAAAAATTGCTAAAATATAAACAGGGATCCTGGAATAGTCAGTGAGTGATAGAAAAAAAAATGCTAAAATATATATTAAGTAGCAGGATCGGAATAAGTTAGAGGGCGTTGAAAGAAATACCAAAATACAGTGTAACCCGGATATAAGAGAAACCGGGATATATGAGAAACCCAGATATAAAGAGAGATTTTCTCTGTCCCAAATTAGAGCCTGTGTTAATATAAAAAGACCAAACCCGGATATAAGAGATTTTCTCTGGTCCCAAAATTAGAGCCTGCATATAAAATGACCAAACCCGGATATAAAGAGACTTCTTCTCCATTTGACAACTCTCTCTTATATCAGGTTACACTGTACAGTAACCTGATATAAGAGAAACTCAGACATAGAGATTTTTTCTGGTCCCAAATTAGAGCTCAGCACGTATATGGGTAACAGACCAAACCCTGATATAAGAGAAACCCGGATATAAGAGACTTTCTCCGGTCCCGACAACTCTCTTATATCCGGGTTACACCATAATAAGCAGGGATGTTTGGAATAGTCAAAGAAATACAAAAAAAAAAATATAATAAACAAGGAGGCTGAAGTAATTGAAGGGCGTTGAAAGAAATGCTAGGCCATATCACGAATTTTCGTACGATCACCAAAGTTAAGCAACGTCGAGCTTGGCCAGTACCTAGATGGGTAACCGCTTGGGAATGCCAGGCGCGGTAAACTTGTAAGCGTGTCTGATTGGAAATAGGAGAGCTGAGTTCTCATTCCAGCCGGGTTCCTTATGGATAATAAATGCGCAGATCTCATCATCGTCTCCATGACTTTTGTAATCGTAGGGCGGATCCGAATGCAGGAGCCACCCTAACACTTTTCCCCAACGGCCTATCTACGGTAGCCATCAGCAGTTATGATACAGTCATACCTGTCCATTGTTTGACATTGTCCAACCAGTTTTTGCATTGGCGTCGTCTTCTACATCGACCTTCAATGCTGCCTTGCATGATGGTCTTGCACAGGCTATCGTGCCCTGTAATATCTCCAAACTACGCCATTTTCTCCGTTTAACAGTGGCGAGAAGCGGTTCCTGGTGTCCCATAAAACTTGCACTTTTCCACACAAACTCATTGGATTTTTGTTCCCAATGGAAAATGCCAAGGAGTTTTCTCGTGCATTTCTTCTCAAACGCTTGAATGCTTCACTCTGTATCTGCCAACAGTATCCACGTTCCACATCCATATAGGAGAATAGAGACTACCATCGATTTGTAAAGTCTGTACTTTGTTTGAAAACTGATTTTGCTCCTCCATATTCCTGTCAATTTGGCCATCGCTACCATGGCTGCAGCACTCCGTGTGCAGATTTCTGAGTTGCAAGTACCATCTTTAGACAAGATTGCGCAGATCTAGCTATGGGTTAATTAGTAAGATTTGTATCACTAAACGATTATTAACTTCAACAACAAAGATCTGAACGTAACAACAAAAATTATGGTCTACAGTGCTGTTGTCATTTCAACTTTGCTATATGGTTGCAAAACCTGGACTCTATATCGTAGCGGTATCCAGAATTTAGAACGCTTCTACCAGCAAAATTAAACACTTGTTTTCGATAGTCAGGACATGTAACAAGAATAGAATAGTCAAGGTTTCTCTGTCAAGTCCTATTCAGTGAGCTCACTTCAAGGAAATGGCCATGTGATTACCCTCTTCAAAGATACAAGGACCAAATCAAAACAACACTGAAAGCCACTACACTTGATCCTAAATCGTTTGAAACAAACCCAAGAGCGTATCAGCTGGATGTGTTGCATCACCATCGGAACCAAAAACTTCGAAGCCATCAGAAGAGAAAACAAAGTAGTCAAACTACTTCAGAGAAAGGCTCGAGAATATCGACCTCGTCTTCGACCAAAATTACGATGCAGTCAATGCCATCGACTCTTCCATGCAAGAATTGGTTTATTTAGTCATCAACGTCATCATCATAAGGGAAGTGATCAGAAAAGAAGAAATTAAATTTTTGGATACGATATAAAACCGACGACGATTATCTCCAAAAAAACGAAATTCTTGCAATCTAAAAAATATTTTCTGGCTTTAAATAACCTACAGAGAGTTGATAGGCCGTAGAAAATGAATCAATCAATCTTTAAAAAAGTTGAGATATATATCAAAACGCGCAATCACAAACTGAGAATGTGGGTTAAGTTAGATATTAAAGTTTTAAAGATTATTGAGTCTTTATTTTTTATCTGATCTCATAAAATGAAAATTTATTTTCTTTTTAGAACTATTATCCTACTGTAAAAAAACTTTCTTGATTTTAAAATTTACAAATTTTCATTTATCATGATTTGCCGACGAGTGTACGTGTTAACGTTTTTAAAATGCCTTAGATTTTGTTTACATACGGACATTTATTTTTCTTTTCATACTCTTTGGGTCTAGTCACTTGATCTAACCAACGTCTTTATCCACAAACAAACAGTTGTGAGTTCAATACCAGTCCACAGCAACGGTGAACCAAAAACTTAAGAGTTGAGTTAAAGGGAAATAACTGAGGCTATGGCCTGGAACGTGGAACTAGATCAATCTACCGCTGGATGAAATAAAGGGTTCGGTTCGAAATTCCAATCACCTGACGAAGGCCGGAGCGTACAACGGTCGAAACGTTGTGAATATGGCAATGAAGATGAGGATAATAGTCCGAATAATGTAAATAACGTAAATAATCATAATACTTCATCTCAGAGATATAAACAAGTTAACTTCGTTGATTTTTTTTTTAAGCCATCAGACCAGGGCAGCCTTCTGGACGGAGCAGTCTGAGGTCGAGAAAATTTATTATAGTACATTTGATATCATGGCTTTCCTCCGAGACAATGCATAACTTTATGACCCGCTTTCTCCAAAATGTTGCTCTAGAGTTAACCGTTATCTTTCCTACATATCTTCTAACCTCCACCTCATTATGTGCAATAACTTAATTCAGCAGCCCTCTACTTTGACTGGCTCATAGATCTTGTATCGGGTGAAAAATTATAAAAAGAAAGACAAGCCCAAAGAGATAAGCAGTCATAGATAGAGAAAAACCAGAAGGGAAAAGAAACACCTCTAACTGGCTTCGACTCTTAAAAATTCTTTGGATAAATAAAACATGCTGACAGAATAATTCTTTTTAAGATAGCAACAGGAAAACATAGATTTTTTTTTACTTATTAACTCAGTTGTGAGGATGAATAGTGCCAGTGCGTCTTGTTGACCTATCGACCTTCTGTCGAAGCCCTTACTGAGCGTTCTCAAGAGCTTGTAATTAGTACACCTTCAGAGGTCTGGCCTGCCAGTAATTGTCTTCACCGTGCCGTTGTTGGGGTTTTTTTGCCTTCTTCATCACTTAATTTGACATTTCTGTTTATTCTTTGGTTTTTGTTTTGTTCATTTTACAGTAAATAAAATTCAAAATATGGTTTCGATGATTTCACAACCACACATGATTCAGTTACTTTCCCATCGACATAATATAGCTTCACTGTGCCTTTCCTATAAATATTTTCATGTTAATTGTTCTGATGAACTTTCCTCTATGGTATTATATTGGCTGTAGTAAGAATGGTAAGGCAAGAATGTGTTGTGTTGGTGTAAAGAAATATTGTGTTATCATTTGGCTCAATTGTGGCTAGCTAAGTTTTAAGATAAGACAGATTGAACCAGCCTTCCACTATACCTTTTTGACCTTGTGCCACATTTTGTATTATTTTCAAAATAAATATTGTTTTCCTCTTTTGGGAACTAGTTAGATCTTCATAGAGACTTGGATGTATTATGGTGGCTGTAGTAAGATTGGTAAAATAAGAATGTGTTGTTTTGGTGTAGGTATACTGTGGTATGTTTGGCTCAGTAATTGTGGCTAGCTAAGTTTAATTATAAGACCAGCATCCACCCACATACTTTTTTCTATCTTCTGCTACATTTTGGTATTTTAAAAAATAAATATTACTTTCCTCTATGGTGCTTAGATTTTATGAATTGAAGTATAGTACTAAATTGGCGGCAAGGTCTCATCATTTTACAGTTGAAATGACAAGATGTAACTTTAAGTTCTATGCTAACAGTTTCTTTTCTCTCTTCTCGCTAGTGAAACTATCTTCCGTTTAACCCTGAGCCTCAAAAATTTAAATGCAATGTCAATCGTTATCTTCTGTCTACTAAATTCCTCTTCTGTTATTGTTATCTCCCTTTATATTGAATTTTTGTCATATTCTCTAACGCTCAGTAACTCCTTGCGTCTTAGTGGCTGTATTGCCTTGCTCGGGGTGAAATGATTAAAAAAAAAAGATTAACTGCTCAAAAAACTGAGCCATTGGTCACAGAATTCCATTCCTTGGAGCTATAGTACCACGACAAAGCATTTTTGATCCACTTGTTCTACATTTACCATGAAACTTAAGTTCCTTGAATTCACACAAACTGATAAAGCTTACGTTGAAATAACGGTTCTCATACGATCACCGAAGTTAAGTAATATCGAGTCTTGTTAGCACCTAGATGGGTGACCGTTTTGGAATACCAAGTGCTGTAAACTTGCATATGGATAAAGGCTCGGAATTGTACATCGGAGAGCTATGTTCCAATTCCAGTTCGTTATAGTCACTTACTTGCAAATACTCTTGGGAAAGGCATGAATCTACCTCTTGTAGAATTGTATCAGTAAATCATTATTATCTTCAAAGAATTATTATAATCTAAAAATAATGCCTGGCTTTAAATAACCTGCCAAAGACTGCTAAGCCATCAATAACAAATCACTAAGAAAAACTGATCTGTGATATCCTTTCATTCTCGTAAGATCCTGAATGTGCGCTTGGAAAGTCTTGCTTTCCATGGCGTCTTTGTAACCGCGTATGGACAACAGGCACCGAATTTCCCTTTCTCAAAAGATGAACGAAAGCTGACACAATTTGGCACCAGTATCGTTGCTGAGAATTTCTGAAACATATGGGCGGAGAAGGCTTGGAGAATTTAACACTCTCAGGACATATTGGATGCAAGAAAAGAGCGGGAAACAGCGGATATTGAATGAATGGCTCGCAGAAAAATGGCGAAAACGACAGGTAAAGGGTCAAATTGTTACTTGACGTAACAAAAGACAGGAAACTGTGCAGAGCCATGATCTACCATATCCTGGAGCGACATGGCATGAAAAAAAATGAAATAAATAATTATTAGGGCTAAAAAGAACACTATTTTATCCGAGATATGTACGGAGACTACTCTCAGTTCACCTGTGATGCAATTTTGTCCTCCATTCATTTGACTGAAGGTCAAGAAGTACAAATGTTTGGTAGTTGAGTTCAAATCGAGACCAACTGAAATGTTCAAATCGAACTCATCGTGAAGGATGTGTAGAATAATTAACGAACAACAAGTTGAACATGAAACTGTATTCAAAATACTGGCGTCCAGTTTTTCAAATTAGATAGATGTGACAATTACCAACGATTATTGGAACTGACGCTTCTGAATCTGTTGACGACAAGGATTCGTACTTAACACATGTGTGATAATTTCCGACGGTGATTCGAACTGACTCATTTATAACAACTGGCGACGAGATTAGAACTGACGCAGACAAAACAATTAGCAACAGGGATTCAAACTGACGCATATGCAACAAATGGCCGTGTGGATACGAACTCGGGCATACGTACCAATTAGCAGCGAAGATTCGAACTGATGCATATTTCTAACAATTGATTAAGAGGATTCGCACTGACGAATATGTAACAATTGGCAATATGGATTCGAAGTTGATGACGAGATTCGAACTGATGCATACAAAACAATCAACAACGCGTATTCAAGTTGACGCATATATAATAATTAGCCAGAGTGATTCGAATTGAAGCTTACTGTGACAATTGTTGATGTGGAGTTGAAGCCAGACATACGTAATGATTGGCGACTAGAATGACACAGAATAATTTCCGACGAAGATTCGAACTGACGCATATATGACAATTAGCGACAGGCATTCGAACTGACGCATATACAAGGATTAGCAATAGGGATTCGAACTAACACATATATAACGATTAGAGATTCGAACTGATGAGGGCTTGGATTTGTGTATATATAATATTTTTGTGTTTTATAATCTTTCAGTTTAGTTTGAGGAAACCTCTGAATTTGTTCTTTGGATTTCAAAATTGCATTTCATTTTCTTTCTTAATTTAAAAAAAAAAATAATGTAAAAAGAATGTGTCATTAAAACTTCATTCAACTGCCATACTTTTGGGTATTTTTTATCAACGCAAGCTTTAAAAGGCATTAATGATAAAATTATAAAATCTACTGGTGTCAAATTTCTAAGTCTATACTAACTCTTCCTATATTCGTTCTTCTATCTATCTATCTCTCTATCTCTCTCTTTCTTCCTTGTTTTTCCTTATGTTTGTCATCACCTACTCTCCTTACTTCGTCTGATATAGTCTGGTAAATTAGATTCTTTTTTTCTGCTAGTATATTCGTAAAGAGCTGAGTATAATGTTTGTTTTACAGGGAAAACTGTGTGAAAAGTGAATTGATTACATCTTGCTTCATGCATTTGTAATTTTACGTTAGAGGTTTAGTGGTTATCGTTGAAATCTCAGTAGGAGCAAATTTCCAGCACTTTCCTCAGTATCATTGTTGAGAAAATACCAGTGTTTCGACAGTCTCAACTTAAATTTGTCTCTTGTGTCGTTGGAAAACTAGATAAACTTTTCATTCTTAAGCTAAAATGCAACAATAATAAGATGGAGTAAAACTATTAAGAAAATATTAATAGTGAAAATGCTTAATCTAAAAAGCCACAATAACAAGATGGTATAAAACTAGTAATAAAATAATAATCGTCGGTTACATGCTAATACCCTTGGGAAAGGTAGGAATCCTCTTCTTTTCCTCCCCCAGCCGGGTTCTATAGCCTTGGATGGCAACTGGTCTACCGCAGAAAGAAATGGCAAACTACTGCGGGAAAAAAACAGTTTCGTCAGTCATGTCATGATTGCCTAAGTGTGTATCACGCATGGCACATAACTGACTGACCCTTGGGAAAGGTATGAATCCTCTTCTTCTCCCCCCAGCTATGGGTAGATAGCAGGACAGACCGGGTTCTATAGCCTTGGATGGCAACTGGTCTACCGTAGGAAGAAATGGCAACCTACTGCGGGGAAAAATCTGCCTCGTCAGTCATGTATCGAATGATACATGATCGCCTAAGCGTGTATCACGTATGGCATATAACTGACTGAATGATATGATAAAACAAAAAAAAGGAAAAATACGAACGCACTGTGTTTAAAAGATTTTAAAGGATTTTTAATTTGTTTTTTTTTATTTATTTATTTTTTGTATATTTTTTACCATTTACCTGATTTTAAATATAATTTTTTCTATGTCTAAGTGTTTTCGGCTTTCATTAACCTTATCAAGTACCTTTTTGCGCTATGTTGGTTGTATTAGGTTTTAGATATGGCGTCTTCGAGTCACATGTCAGTTTTTTAAAGTATTGCATCTTCACATGACACTTTGTGTTATCGTGCCATTATTCATTCAATTATATTTAATGTTTGTTCCTAAATTGTATTGATGCTGAGTTTATTTGTTGTTGTTTTTTTTGTTTTTTTTTTTTGTTTTTTTGTTTTTTTAAACACAGAATCAGAAAGAGACAGCTAAGATCTTTGAGGACACATAAGGAGGAAGAGCAAGGAAAGCATAAACCTCACAGGGCGTGTTGAGGGCAAGAGAGATTGGTGAAGGCAGCGAGCTACTTACCTGGCGAGCTTGCTTATGTGAATGGATAGCGGAAGGCTTAACAAAGAAAGAAACCCTGCTTAGGGTCACAAGAGATAGAAAGTTGTGGAGAGCCACGATCACCCATGTCCTAAAGGGACATGGAACATAGAATCAGAAGAAAGCATTTAGTATTTGTAATCGTTTTTTAACAGTTAATTTCACGACAATTATGTTAATTGGCGTGATAATGTAGTATAGGATCCCTGTAGTGAGTGAAACCAGAGTAGCAGTGTAATATATATTTTATATCATATTGTGTGAGCATATATACACATGTTACCCAATTATCACGCCAATTAACATTACATTTATCTGATAATACAGTGAGCCCCCGTATTCGTGGGGGTTAGGAACAAGAACCGGCCGTGAATAGTTAGAATCCGCGAATATTTGTAACCCCCTAAAAGTGCTTATAAGTACCTATTTTGATTGTTAAAACCACATATGCCTTAAATTTGCATCCTAAACACTTTAGAAACATTTCAAACACTTTTAAAAACATTTTTGAAAAATAGTATTGGGGACCATACTCTTTGCGTAAATTTTCTTTCATACGTCCAATAACCGTTTTTAAATACGCATAGATCGATACTACTATTGAAAATACTGTATAAAATATGGGTAACAAGATATAAAATATAAAGTTTAAAACATTTTCTAAAAACAGAACTGTGATAATACGCTCCCAGACTTAGCAAAAGTCACTTTTAATACTTCAGCCGCAGCCCCTAACAAAGCCCAAGCACTACACATGCTTTTGCGTTTGTTTTTTTACAATAAAGATATACTATTCTGCCAATTTTTATCATAAAAAATGGATTGTTATATGTTTTAAGTCACTTAACAGGAAAATAATACAAGAATATTTTAAACATGTTATATCGAAAAAATATGAAAATCGAGAGAGTTCTCGGCGAATAATTTGTACATATGTTCTTCAGAAAAACACGAGAATATTCGGGGTTTCCGCGAATAACAAGTGTATATGTTCTAAAGGAAAATCCGCGAATGTGTGAAACCGCGAATGCTGAAACGCGAATAGTCGGGGGCTCACTGTAGTTCAATTAAATTGCATATTACAAGAAATCCTACACATAGTTGCCATTAACATAAAAAAAAACTCAATATCACATAAACTGTAAAAAAAAAAAAAAGAGAGAGAGAAAACAAAAACATTGCAAATATTAAAAGCATTCTTCTTCTCCATGCCGCATTTCTTCAGGACACGGGCGATCACGGTTTTCCAAAAGTTCCTATTCCTTGTTACCCTAAGCAATGTTAGTCCCTTTGCTAAGCCTCCCGCCTCGCTAGCCATTCACATAAATATGTGTGTGTATATGTTATATAGTAGGATTTATCGGATTTCTGGTTGCGTTTTTGAACTATTATCATATAAATGCCAAGTTAATCGGCGCGATGATGTAGTCGTATTGTTTGAATTATTATTAGAGAGAGAGAGAGATTCACTAAGTGGGCAAACACAAATACACGATTATTTTGATGGAGAGTTTTTCCTTTTCTTTTAACATTGTTGGTAATATGATTCACTTGTAAAAATGACGAGAATAAACTAAGCTTTTATTTTATATATTTTTTCTCTCTGTTTTCAGGTGAGTGAAATTTTCTTTGCATATTTATCCATAACACCTCAACGCCGAAAGTAAATGTTTTCCCTCGAAACAAGTAAGTGTCGACTGGATTTTATCCAAGAAATTTTTTCTACCCCACACTTATCAACAACAT